TTTCTTCTTCAGAGAGGTCTCAGAACGCTGCATTGGCAGCCGCGGAAATCGAACCCAATCCTAAAGGTTATGTATCCTAATTCTTACTGCTGTGTGATGAATCTCAGCAGAGCGGAAGAAGTGCATATGTTACAGATAGGCGAATGGTGATGACCCCTAATAGAAGAGTTGAAGTTGACGTCTACCTCTGACATCTATCCCAGTCTCGTGTTGCAACAAAGCTGTTAAAACTGAAGCGACACTAGCCGTGAACCGTCTGGAAGTTTCGCTACAGACTTCCCCTATCCTCTAGGGTGGGAACAAAGTGGCAAGGAGGAACAGACGCGAAACCCCCCTACTGGACCTGCCAGCGTTCCTACATCTATCTTCGGACGCGTATAATAGCCAGCACAATTCCCCATTTCTAAAAAAGTGTTTTCAGACCGGAGGAAACTACAGATCAAGTAAAGTTGCCAAGAGGGATAGGTGAAGTTGAGGTCAACTATCTCCTCAGTATGAACGCTAATTTGGTGACTGGCACGGCCGGATCTCAGATGTTTTTTACAGTACCGACTACGTTGTAATAGCTGACGCCGAAGGTTGACCTGTGGGGGCGCCAAGGACGATGCTCAAAAGAGGAAAGAGGCTATGTAATACGAAGGTGGCTTATCCCTCGGTGATGGAAAGGTGCCACCTTTGGACGTTTGACCATGCCTTCTTGTACCACGCTGAGTGGGTTGGCCTTCGGGCCAGGCCAGTAACCCAAACACGTTCTCAGTTCTGAATATATATTCTGCCTGAGCATTGTGTCTTCTTTCGTCTTCAGGGAAGTCTCGGGACGCTACAGTAATGTATGCGGCAGCTACCCAGTAGTCGATGTACTTTGTGGTGGAGAGGATTGACAGAAACTTAAAACAAAGTTTGGACACGCTTTGAGTAAACGTGTAATGTTTTTCTCGCATTTATTTACTTGTTTAAATGCCCATATCAAAGGTAGCCAAAAATCATTTTTAATTAATACTTCAGCTTCAAATGTTGTTTTGTTGTCGGTCTTCTTCGTTTTCCTTCTGTTGTATTTTTCCCTCTGCGAAAGAAGGCAAGGATATGTGACCACGGCCTAAACCAGTCATTCTTGATCGAACGTGGTGTCACCAATAGCAGGCCCGGTGTAGACTTTATCACATTTAAACGCTTAACAACAACGTGTGGTCCAATGGGGTAGATAAGGAGGGAAATATGCAAAGACTTGGCACACAAAATTTGCAAGCAAATGGGTCCACTCGCTTATTTCTACCCAATTCACTAAATTACAGATGCATTGTTTACATATAGACTACTTTTATTTTAAACAAAGATGGTGGGCGTGTAGGAAGAAAAGCATGTAAACATATACGTGGGTCAAAAGTAAAAATGATAGGGTGGTTGATATCAAGTTAGTTTCGTCACAAAGAGTATAAGTCAAGTATTTATAATTAATGAGCTTAGTTTAGCAGAACTTCAAAAACTGTAACTAGTACAAAGGCCAGATTCTATAAAATTAACAACGCACTAATAATGCACAAATATTTGGTTTAGACGCATGCAACTTTTACTCTCGTGGCAAAACTTGCTTTAATAATTCCTGCAGTTGTTATAATTGTGTTGTCCTTTTTAACATTGCTTACTCTTTCTATTTTTGTTTTTTAAACAGAATTCTTTTAGGATATTTTTGTTTGTTTGACTACATAACCATGTCATGCTTAAATGCCACCGCGCATTGTGCGAAATTGTTCCGACAGGCTTGTTTTTAACTTGTGGTGTGCAACAAGGGATTTTCCTATCAAGCTCGTTGCGTAGAATGTAGGCGGTTAAGAAGAGTCACTCGTGTTACTTACCCTTTCTTTTTCACCTTGAGAGTCTGCATATAAGGAAGTTGGAAGTCGTTCTTTTTTTGCTTAGAAATATGTCTGTGCTGAATATGGGGAATAACCGAATGTGATCAATTACCATGAGTCTGCAGTATTTGCATTTGACTCGCCTCTGTTTTTTATGGAGTCTGTTGGCAACTTCGTTGAGTGTGTTGAAGGCGTCTGTTCTAACCTGCAGCCTTTGTTACTTGGACTTCCCGGTGAACATAATCTCTCGACTTTCGAAGCACCTTTGGAAAGAGGAGAAACTGGAATATCCGTCGATAACAGGGTAATTGCTGATGTTTCTAAGTGATGGGAGGTGCGTAATCGACCATTTTACTGGTATGTATAGACAATCACATATGAATGCTTGATATGGCATCACCTCACTTGTCGTTTTCACAAATAACAAGTGGGGGCATGTTGGTTACAATTCCGTTGTACGTAAAGACAGAGAATGAACGAGGAGGCGGAATCCCTCCCATAACCTGTATTCTGGCACTCATTGGATCGCCAGCCAGGGCTTCCTCTATTAAGGATTTTCTGAGGCTAGTGGCTGAGAATGCACTGGTCACCGTTTGGGACTCGGCTGAGTCGGAGTTGACTTTGTGAGCAATCTTCTTTTCTTTTTCACATTGCTTGTATTCCTTTTCAACCCTCAGAAAAGTATTCGTAGACATTCTAGCCAGCTCGTAGTGATTTTAAAATGGCAGAATTGCTGTACAATGCATTATTTTTAGGTCCATTTACGTGAGTGTAATTTTGTCTCCGTATGCTCTGTTGTTTTTCGCTGCTTGCTCACTGCAGTTTCTCTAATCCACTTATCGCCACGCATAACTGCATGGAAATTTTTGCAGAAAATATGACTAGAATGTGGGAATGAGTGAGATAACTCACTTTTTAGCTGTCATCATAACCAATGCACTCGTCACTATGCTGTTATGTTTACCACTTGCAGGAGTGCTAATTAATGTTA